ATTTCTGGAAATGGTGGAACAGGGAATATGCTCCTTCGGATACAACAATCATATAAAGAGTTCCCAGAATCTTGAGGTGGAGATTGTTGCTTTAGCGGTGGAACTGATGCTTCCCCGCAATCAATAGAGTTTGGGGAGGGTGGAAGACACTCTCCCAGGTGCTGATTGTCTTGTTTGAAAGTACCGGATCTGTAATGTACACGGGATCGTCTTGCGCCCTTTTAAAAAGTTGTACCTCGTAGAAGGCCAGATAAATCAACTGCAGTAACATATGGTAACCCTTCCCTTTTATGGGAATTTCCCGCCTAAATTGGGGATACGAAGCTGCCTGTAGGCTTGTATACTACATGACGGCTGAGATTATCATGACCCATTGTATGGTATCAATGCACAGCCCAAACCAAACATTATCATAACCCAAACAAACAGTGTGGTCAAACTAACCTGCTTCCATAGACTATGGCAGCTAATAACAAGAGGACAGTATGTTGAGGTAGATAATCTATGCGACGTCTGCTCTACGGTAATCAGAAAGTCACCAAATGCATCAGAAACCTCCTAGTTTGCATGTGTTGAAACTATGGGAAGTGTAGTCTAGAATAAACTGAAATTATGAATTTATTATCATAATTATTACCATTAGTATTATAAACTTATTATGAACACAGAAATTAAGGATATTTGATATGATATTTTTTTTCCTGTGCCGTATCAGAACCTGTCGTTGGCGATGTTTACCAAGTTTAACGTTATGGTTGTACAAGGGGGTGGCGATCATGTTTAATGTTATGGTTGTACAAGGTGGTTTCCCGTTGCCTTCCTTCGGATGATTGAAGAGTTCACCATCTCTCTTACCAGTGGAACCTCTGCTTTTCTGCAACTATTATCTTTTAGCGTCGTAGCTCTTCCGCCTCGGCACCATGATCACCTGATTGGATGTCCTTCCTAATTAACCGCGGTTCGGTGCTATTAACACCTGTGTCACGGCGGCGACTTCCCCTACGACACCTGCGTTTGACCTCTTAACCCATTCGCGCCGGGCGTCACACAGCATTTCCCCCATTTTTTGTTCATTTTTACCCGGCGCGAATGGGTTAAGGCGATATGTCGTTTTCTCGCCGTGAGATCGGATTCGAGCCAGCAGTCAGAGCGCAGGTATTTTTTACGACCGCCGCGACGGAGAATTGAACTCGGGACCACGAGGGTCGGAGTCCAGTGCTCTAACCACTGGGCTAAATAGTTTCATTATATGTATCTTAAGTGTATGTCAAAACGAAGAAACACCAATGTCAATATTGAATGGAAGTTAATGTATATCGTGTGTCTGCATTATCATTATCATTATTAGTTTATTATTATTATTATTACTATTAGTACTATACACACTATTGTTATTATTATTTGATTTTATTATCATCATCACTATGGGACTATAGCCACTCTCATTTCTCTTTATCTCTTTCAATGTATCGCCCCTTACTGGTATATGACTATATATATACACCTCTTTTTGTGTATATCTGTATATGTTTCAAAGATTATATTTTGTGTATGACAATATCATGTGTCTTGATATCGCTAGCGGTTATTACATCTCTATCTCTATATCACTACTACTTTTGTATGCGTTTCTCTTATTAAAGTAGAATTTATATATGCATGTGGAAATGGACTGATAATCAAATAACTGTAAGATATTTGATCTATGTATTTTCAAAATTGTTATGTAATTCTTTATAATCTAGTAGTGTTTAGTCTCGGGGTTAGAATAGTAAAAGAAACTCGCCACTACATTCACCGACGGACGTAGGCCATGGTAAATTATTTACATCGAAAATTGTGGAATGGAAATCAGAATCATGTCACTTCAGAGGATGAACTGAAGCCTTGGGATTCGAATAATGTGGTATGGATTTCGAGGAGACGCCAGTACCTATTTACATGTTACAATAGAACCTTAAGGTACAAATTATTCTCCCTTCTTATCTGTCTTTTTAAACTCTATTTCCTCTCATCTTCCAATCACACAACCTCAAGCTTCATTTCAAACTAGGCAGTGACTAATACTAGGTTATTATAATGTGTTGTGGTATGGGGTGCTCGTTCATGTAATTATAAGTTTCCCATTGTCAACACTGACGACCCGGAGGGACGAGGAGGAGGAGGAGAGGAGAGGAAAAGAAGGGAGGCACAGAATGAATTGAAAGAGAAGTGAGGGAAGGAGAGGGACGGAAAGGAGCGCGGTCGGAAGGAAAAGGAGGAGTAAGTGGGAAAAGAAGAGGGGGGGGAGGAAAAGGAGAGAGACCGGAACGGATGGATGGATAGGAAAGGGAAGGGAGACGAGTGGGAAAGTGAGATGATGAAAGATGCAAGGGAAGGGTAGTAGCAAGGACAGATGCAATGATAACAATATGCTATCCTTAAGGATCAGGTAGTGATTATAATAGTGAACTATAATCTCTCTATCTTTCGGTGTATTGATTTATATATGAGTGAATATAATTATATATATAAATATATATATACATATATATATATATATATATATATATATATATATATATATATATATATATATATATA